GGTAGTGGGATGGGGGCGCGTGTTTGGGTTTTACTGTTAGATGGGGGCTGGTGGGTGGAGGATTTGGGGCGCACCCGAGAAGGTGGAGACAGTGGGGATAGAGGGACGTGGAAAGGCAGGTGGGAGGCGGGCTAGCAGCGTGCTGGGGTGGGGACAAGGGAGGTGAAGGTTAACCAGGGGGGGCTGCGCAGGCCAGGCTGGAGCAGTCCCTGCCTCCCGGGCAGGGGATGGTGGGGGCTGCTCTAGCTCACAGGGTTGGGACCAAATCCCGCTGTGTCTCTGCAGTTTAAAGGCAGTAGGAGCTTGGGGGCAGGTTGCCTAAGTCCTACTGCATTTTCAATTGCAAAGACACAGTGAGGTGAACTGGGGCTGAGCTGGGCTGCCTGCCCAGCCGGCAGAAGCCCCTGCCCCTACCTCCGCGGAGACCGTGCTGGGGAGAATCGGCTTTTAAGCCAGCGGAATGTGAATAGTTAACTCCCTGGTTGACTAATAGACTGATCCCTTACTTCTCTAGGTCCAGCCCTGTGGCAGGCCCTCCCACTGCCCCCGTTTAATTGGTTTACCTATGTTTAACCAGTTAATCAATTCAAGGGGATGGGGTGACCAGGAAGGATATGGGGTGGGGCTGTATCCATGGTGGGAGAGCAATGGTGGGGAGTGGTGTTCGGGTTCAGGCCGATCTCTCTCTCTATGGTGTGGGTGGAGGGTCATGGTGGGGTGTGGTCTCTAACTCTCTCCTGGTTGCAGGTTTCAGTCCCCGTGGAGGGCGCGGTGGGTTTGGGGACCGTGGAAGAGGCCGAGGGGGCTTCCGAGGAGGCCGAGGTAAGTGCTCTCTGTGCCCCAGTGGCATCGCTGTGTTGGGGAGGGGAGGGCTTTGTGGTTACGACTGAGCACCTGTGTGCTGCACCTCCCCATCTCCCCTCGGTCCCAGGCAACACCCGCTGTTGGAGACCTTCCTGTCCAGTGAATACTGGGAGAATTTTGCTCCCACCGCACCTCAGTTCAGTGGCCATTGACTTTGGGCTGTGTTGCTGTGTGGACAGCACATCCTGTCCCAGCTCCATCAGTGTGCCATGGTCCAACCCCTGCCTGGGTTATTTCCCCTCGTGATCTCAGGGACACTGGATCCCCGCCTTCATATCTTGTCCCAAAGTGAACAGCTGCTCTGCCCCTCTGCTTTCCATGCAGGGCGGGGACAATGGCACAGGGCCAATGTGCTTCTACTCCATCTCTTCTCTCCCTTGTAGGTGGTGGGTTTAAATCTCCGGGTGGGAGTGATGGAGGCTTCCGAGGAAGAGGAGGTGGCGGTGGTTTCCGTGGACGAGGCGGGCCAGGCCGAGGAGGCCGCGGTGGAGGAGGCCGGGGCGGCCGAGGAGGGTTTAAAGGAGGCAAGAAGGTGACGGTGGAGCCCCACAGGCATGAAGGTAACCAGCATGGGACAAAATAGTGCTGTCTCCTGGGAGCAGTGAGGTGTTGTGGCCAAGGTGGTCTGCCTGGACTGGACAGCGCTGGGATTCACTGCTAGATGTTGGATTGATCAGGGCACAGCTGGGGTGGATTGCTATCCAGTGTTGGAGGCACTGTGTATGGGAGGTTACATGGCTGATCCATGGCTTGGCAGCCCTGCTGTGATCCCTTTATGATTTGCAAGGGCAATTGACTCCTTCCCATAGCAGGGAATGTTCCCCCTGCTCTCCTTAGACTTGGGAAGAGGGTTGTCCCTGTTCTGACAGCTTCCCATCCGTTTCCTCCTTCCACCCAGGCGTCTTCATCTGCAGGGGGAAGGAGGATGCGCTGGTGACGAAGAATCTGGTGCCCGGCGAGTCTGTGTATGGAGAGAAGAGGATCTCTGTGGAGGTAGGCGGCCTTGTGGTAATGGGGGAAATTCTGGGCAGCACTGGCTGCCCCAGGACTCAGGGGTGGGATGGTGCCAGCCTGTTAAGGCAGCTCCCATGTTTCTAGAGGGACACTACCCCAGCAGGAAGGGTATTAGGGTTGGGGCGACTGCCACAGTGGAGCATGCTCACAGCCAGTTAACAGCCCCGGGGGAGCTGAGCTGAGCTTTGACCCTGCTGCTCTCTCTGCAGGACGGTGAGCTGAAGATAGAGTACCGTGCCTGGAACCCTTTCCGCTCCAAGCTGGCAGCAGCCATCCTAGGTGGCATTGATCAAATCCACATCAAGCCGGGAGCCAAGGTCCTGTACCTGGGAGCTGCTTCTGGAACCACAGTCTCACATGTCTCCGACATCGTGGGGCCGGTAAGGAGCTGCTGTTGGGCCTGGGTCTGAAGAGGATGGGGGTGGGGGCAGGGGCAGGGACGAAGTGTCTAGTGAGTATGACTCAGCTGTGCTGAGAGAAGGCAGTGCCTGATTGCATTGTGGGGGGAGGGGAGAATGGGAAGAAAAGCTGCTCTGCCCTTGGGGGAGATGGCTGACCATGGTTTTTTACCCCACCCAGGAAGGCCTGGTCTATGCTGTGGAGTTCTCCCATCGCTCCGGCCGTGACCTCATCAATGTGGCGAAGAAACGCACCAACATCATCCCCGTCATCGAGGATGCGCGGCATCCGCACAAGTATCGCATGCTGATCGGTGAGGGCTCTGGGCTTCCTGGGCAGGGGTCAGTCTACAGACCAAGGATCCCCTGTCGTTCCCAGCCCCTACTGAGAGAAATTACGTTAGCATGGCCCAGGAGAGGCGGGGATGGGAGGAGAGCACGCTACAAAGCAAGGGGTCTCCCACCATGCACGATGTCCTGTGGACCCCTCCCACAGAATGGCTTCCCTGCACTGGGGGAGCTACCAAGTGAGGCTCACTGCCGTGCACAAGGTCTGGGCTGATAATGCCCATTTGCACGGTGGGGGCGGAGGCAATGTGGTGCCTCTCTGCAGCTGCTGGTTGGGTGGCTCTTGAGTAGCTGGAGGCTCCTTGTGCTCAGGCTGGATCATGAGGTGTTGTGGTGGGGGGGCTTGGGCAGGGGCTGGATCTGCCCCTGTGTGAGGGAATGGTGGAGGCTGGCATTTAAACCAGCCTCTTCTCCCTGCAGGGATGGTGGACGTGATCTTTGCCGATGTGGCTCAGCCTGACCAGTCCCGCATTGTGGCCCTGAACGCTCACAATTTCCTGAAGAATGGCGGGCACTTCGTCATCTCCATTAAGGTAAGAGCAGTGGAACCTGGCTGCTGCCCCTCCGTGGGCCCCAGGACTGGGACCCGTGAGCTGTTGAGTCCTCGATCTCAGTGCAGTAGTCCTCAAGAACCAGCCAGGAATGGGGGATCTGGTGTGCAAGGTGCTGCACAAGGACAGGGAAGCTGCCCTGCACTGCACACTCATGTGTTAGGGTCCTTTATCGGGGTTCTGTGGGCCAACTGCTCTGGCTCTTCTGTAACCTCTAGGCTTTGGCTAGTCCCTATGGCTTTGGATTTATTTTGGGGGGGAGGGGCAGTGGGTCCTCTGGCCCATGTTAGATCCCTTTGCCTGCAGGTGCCACGCACTGAGGTTGTCTCTTGTGGAGAAAACCTTTTGGATCTCTTGGGGTGGTGCTGGTCCCTCAACTATTGGCCACCCTGTGTCCCTGGAGGAGGGGTCTCAGCTGTGGGGCAGGTTCAGGACTGCCAGGGAGGTGACTTTCAGCATTGGGAGGGGATATCTAGTGACAGAACCATTTGCATTGGAGGGGAAAGTTGCTTAACTGCACAATGCTTCCTTCCAGGCCAACTGCATTGACTCTACAGCGGCTCCTGAGGCGGTCTTCGCCTCCGAGGTGAAGAAGATGCAACAGGAGAACATGAAACCCCAGGAGCAGCTGACACTGGAGCCCTACGAGCGAGACCATGCTGTGGTGGTGGGAATTTACAGGTATAGTAGTAACAATGCTGAGAGATTGTGAGGGTGGGAGGAAAGAATGGCTGGGTTTGCCCAGCAGAGGGGTTGGGATATGTCCATATATCCCCGATGGGAATGTGCATTAGGGATGTCAGTGTGTAGTCAACTACATGATAAACCAGTAAACCTGAGCTTATCAGTTAATCTTGTCAATGACATCTCTCTCCCCCTCCCCCAACTGCCTCTGTATCAGAGGTTGCAAGCAGGGAGGGGAGCGGGAGACAGTGCCTGCAAGGAGCTAGGTTTAAACAGGCTCCCCACGCACACCGGATCTCTCAGCCCTTTTGCCCCAGCACTGCTGCCTTTGATATAGAGGCACCAGCATGGAGGGTGAGGGGGGCAGGCTAGAGCCATTACATATGGGGAGCTAGCTTTCAAGCAGGCTCCCGGTTTGTGGCCGCTCTGTGGATCCACCTGCCCCATTCCTCTGGCTGCCTCTTGCAGAGGCAGCGAGGGGGGGGGCAGTCTCCACAGTACCACCTGCCTCCCCACCCCTCCTGCTACTGCATCTATCAGAGGCAGCAGGAGATGGGTGTGGGGAGAGGAGGCTGGTGCAAAGCAGCCTGTGTCCACGGGGCCCAGGCTTGCCACAGAGAGAGGCTGGTCTGCAGCATCAGTCCCTGTCCATGAAGGGGTCCGAGCTCACTGCAGGTGGAGGCCGCTCTGCATCCCTTGGAGCAGCCTTTGTCCATGGTGAGCCTGGCCCCACTGTGGACAGAGGCTGGTCTGCAGCAGCAGCCTCTGTTTGCAGGGAGCTCAGACCGCTTGTGGACATTGCCAAGCTGATGCCTCTGTATCAAAGGCAGCAGTGCAAGGTGGTAGGCAGCTGGTCTGCATGTGGAGCTCGTTTTTTAAACTAGCTCCCTCCTGCCCACTTCACTCTGCTGCCTCTGATACAGCCAGCCCCAGGGGCTGTCGAATAGTCCTGTAACCGCTAAGGCTTTATGCAGATATGACTATTCAGTTACACGATAGCCGGCATCCCTAATGTGCATGGAGGTGTAAAGGCCTGGACCTGTGGGGCTGCTCTCTTTGGGGGATGGGTCTTACCCTTACCTTTCTCTTCCAGACCTCCCCCCAAACAGAAGAAGTAGTATCTCTGTGGAGCTCCTTGTCACCAGGCCCCAGGCTGGATCCCATCGTATGCTGGCTCTTCTTGCCTTGGGTCTGGGTGTGCTTCGTGGCTGTGGGTTCCTCTCACTGCCCACCCTTCTTTTCCCCCAGGACTCATTTGTATTCTTTGTGAATTTTTTTGAAGATGTATTTTTATTAAAATGTGAGAAAATGGCAGCGGCAGGCTTGTGTGTGCTGGGCAGGCAGTTCACACGCATAGGTCACACCCTGTCTCCTGTGGCTCTTCCTTGGGTCTGGGTGTGCTTCGTGGCTGTGGGTTCCTCTCACTGCCCACCCTTCTTTTCCCCCAGGACTCATTTGTATTCTTTGTGAATTTTTTTGAAGATGTATTTTTATTAAAATGTGAGAAAATGGCAGCGGCAGGCTTGTGTGTGCTGGGCAGGCAGTTCACACGCATAGGTCACACCCTGTCTCCTGTGGCTCTTGTGGAAGCTCTGCCTGCTGGGGACGGGTGGGGTTTGGGGAAGCCAGGGCTCTGTTACTCATTTCTCC